ATCTCCTAAGTTGTGGGGTGGCCAGGCCCGACATCTCCCACATTTCCTTTCAGTTGTACCATCCTGATTGATAGTTACCGGTACTTGAGCCTAGCATGGAATGTTCTGATTGGGCTTTCAGTCATTTAAAGGCTGTTACACTGCAATAAAGTCAGATCTGAACCTTTGAGTCTTGTCTCTGGAGTTTGATTACCAGGTTTCTGTGTAACTCTGTCACCCCTAACCCACCTACCTCATGGTTCCTGATCCCCACCTATGCCAGCAATCAGGCCCAAATATTTGCAAGACCAACAAGACCTCTTTACTGCTGAGCCATCTCTCATGCCCTATGTTGTCTATTTATTTATTTCTAATAATTAATTTAATTTTGTGTGCATTGATATGAGGATGTCAGATCAATTGAACTAGAGTTACAGACGGTTATAAGCTGTCATGTGGATGCTAGGAATTGAAGCTAGGCCCTCTGGAAGAATGGACGGTGTTCTTATCCACTGAGCCATACCTCCAGCCCACTATGTTGCCTATTTACGATCAACATTTACATTGCTAATATTTTCATCTGTCCTTTTGTAATTGTTCAAAAATACATTTCATTTTAGCAAGATAATATTAATATTACATTTAAAATGAGGCACTTCAGGTTTCTAGACATATATACAGAACTGGAGAGAATGTATAACACTTTGTAGAAACTTGAGAAAGATCTCTCAGTTCTTTCTCTTTTGTTTGATTAATTTTTACAGAATATTCATGTCTTATTATATACCCCTGACTGTCCTTAGACTTATTGCATACACCAGGCTTCCATCCGGCTCTATGTGATACAGCTGCATCTATCTCCTGACTGGTTTTGGAATAAAAGGCTTCCCTATTGTTATTATAGTTAGGAATTGTTCATACTGTTTCTCTGGTGTGACTAGGTACTTTGATCTGTTTATTCTCTCTATGTCTGTTAATTGGCATTTCTCTTGCAAGGCTATATCCTACTGAAAGGATGCAGAAATTACAGAGGTGAACCTCACTATTGAGTTTCCTCCTAAAAGAAGGTGGTGATTACATTAGAACTTGTGTGTCAGAAAAATAAGTAGAAGAAACACCAGAATTCTGTAAAAATATTGTAAATGAAGTATACATTTTCAGTGTTATAAGTTTCAAGCTTTCTGTTGTACATGTGTGGATATTTTAGAATGCATTGACCTACAATGATGTGCATGTGAATTTTACTCAAGAATGGGCTTTGCTGGATCCTCCCCAGAGGAATCTCTACAAAGATGTGATGCTGGATACCTACAGGAACTTCACTGCTATAGGTATGGCAGTGAATTTTCTTTACTTTTTAAAATAAACAAGTTCAATGTGAACTATAGATTCCAAGTCTAGCCACTGAGGCAGATGGGAAATTTGCACAGCAAAGATATTCCTAGAAATATTTATGTACTGCACTCCCCTAATACAGCAGGTCATTCTTCAGTGCCAAGGTCATAAGTGGAAGGTCTCAGAGGTTTTAAATGATAGGAAAAGTAGAAACTTGGAGTGGGAAGGTCTTGCACAAGCTGTCTTATCGTAGCTAAGCTTATTTAGAAGACTAGTATCTTGTATATTACTTCCAGGGGAGAAATGGAAGGAAACAAGAGAAATCTATGAATTGATCAGAAACTCTCATACAATGGGATAAAATCAGGAGGAGTCTATTAGAACTATGCTGCACAAATGGAACATTATTTTCCAAGACTACAGTGGTCTTGGAACTGATAACTATAGCTCTATGAGTTGAGAAGAGTTTGGTCCTCAGAATCTGAAGCAAGCCCTCCTCAAAGGCCCTGGCCCCACTGCTCACCCCAAAACATACCTGGTTTTAGAACAAAAACTGTTTTTTATTATCAAGACCTCAGAATCTTGGATAGATTTGAGGCATAAATCCTGTGCTGTCCTGGCTCTGCCAAGCATATTTGAGAAGGAGTGTGAAAAGCAGTTATGTCATTCATATATGCAGAACTAGGGGAAAGCTTTGTTTGATCTAGCCAGTCTTCAACACAACAGTTTTTTCCCAGTTCAAACAGGTGTCACTAGATGTCTTGCCCACGCTGCAAAACCATGCTTTTCTCAATAAGAAAACTGCAACTTTATGGCACACCAGGCTTTAATGTTGGCTGTGACTCTGTAATGGCACATTAAGCAGCTTGTTAGATGTCTCTTTTTTGACATGAAGAAGGGCCAATGGTTGCTATGAATCAGGGCTGTCTCCTTGGTTATGGTTTGGAGACAAATTTGTTGACAGTCATCCTGGGCAAACATATTTCCTAGCATCCTAATCTCTAACAGGCCTGGTTGGCATGCTACTTATCTAAGGGATGTTTTACAACATCCCTTACCTAATTTCTACTTGGTGTGACTTCCTATCTCATAAGCACTGGTAAATCCTTTACATCCAGAATTCTTTGTGTCACAGCTTTATACTGAAGTGCTACTCAACACATTATTTACAACCTCCACAAAATTAACTCCAGATGAATCTTACACTTAAATGTTAAATGCCAAGTGTGGAAATTCTAGAAGATACTCAAGAGAGGAGGCTTCTCCAAGTTTGGCAACCTGCCAAGGACATTTCTACTTTCAAGCCCTGGCCGCAAATACTTGTGTAAATGCAGCCTCATAGTAAGGAGGCAACCTCCAGAGCACAACCTTCTCCCTCATATTGCTAGCAAGGATAAACTACATCACATTTCCAAGCCAGCAGCACCATCTCCCTCCAGGCCCCTTGTAACATTTTTCTACTTATCTGTTAACTGGTTAAACTTGCTGTTACCTTAACTGAGGTGCCTAAATTGTAATATATATATAGTGCCTACAAAGCCCTCACTTACTAATGAACTGAAAACCCAATTCTTTGTTCCCTTATCACCTTGAGCTCCAGACCATATGTTTAGGGATATAAATTAAGGACCTTGGATTCCAGACCGAATGTTTTAGAAAACAGTTAAAGGCCTTGAGACCAGGATTCCTGGATCAGTGCAGCCTCCAACAGAATCTCCCTTGCTTAACCCACAATGTTAAAATTTGATTGGATGACCCCGATACTCACCAAGGGCCATGCGCTTTGTGGATTTAACCCTTTAAATATAGAACAGTTACCCCCTCAGGGACCTTTCAGATCCAGAACTGGCCACCTCCCAGGCTCAGAAAATACATTTTCACCTTCTGTTCCTGAAGTGAATTTTCTGATCTTCCACCCAAACCCAATATAGTGAAGATATTCAGATGGCCCCACTGTCCTCATGGCTAGAACAAGTTATCTCTCTTGTGGGTGCTTTTGGCTGCAGGTTCCCAACCAGCTCCAGGAAGAACCCTACACACCAGGTACTGCTGTTCACCCTCCTGCTCCACCAGGTTGTGGAGCTGCCCAGGTTGTGGGCAGCAGACATAGACTCACCATGCTGTGTCTTTGGAATCCTCTCACAGCACACAGCAGCTACTTTGGGAACAAAGCACACCAACCATTTAAGCCTGCCCAGCTGCAGAGCGAACATGCAGCATGGCGCCAAGAAGAACCTGCCTCTTCCTCTGACTGGAGGATGGCATCAAGGTCCTGATTTGCCAGTGAGTCTTTGAATGACATGAGCACCTCCCTTAGGGTTAGAGCATACTGAAGGGACAAGGCTTAGTGATTCCTGGCCCAGGCTTCCATTTCAGAGCCAGACTTTTTCCAGATCTGCAGAGATTTGTATTTCAGTAACATTTGTGCCTATCCTCCCCTAGCCTACCCTCTGTCTTCTAGCACTCAGTAGGTACTTTCCTTCTTCCTCCTGAAATCAATGTGCATACATTGCACAGTCCATGATTCTACCTGCATACAGGCAAAACACTCATATTCATTCATTCAAAAACTTGAGAAAAGACAGGAAGAATATCATGTACCTGGTATTGAATGACTCTGAAGACTCAGGCAGTATTAGTGTGGTAAACATGTCATCCTGAGAAATACTCAGCATTTTTAAAAATTCAAATATGGATGTGGATGAAGATCAGAACAGCAGCATATGCTTAACATGTACAAAAACCTCCATTCCAAGACCATCAGCCAATAATGTTAAAACAACAACAACAAATACATGTATATTGGGACACATTTTACTGGTGCACTCTGGAGCCAGAGTCAGGGGGAGCTTGAAGTCCAAGTCCTGCCTGGTCTACTTATCTACACTTAGGTCAGGCAGGTCTACACAGAAACTTTGTCTTCACAAAGGAGCACAAAAAACAAAACTAAAAATATAAAAACATCAGGGTAGCAAAATAGCTTAGCACTGAATAACAATTGCTTCTACTGTATCTTATATGGTTTAGTGATAAGAGTCTATAAGGCAAAACAAGTCCCACTTTTGCCCAAAAACAAACAAAAAAATAATAATTTAATGTCTGTTTCCTGCCACATCGATTACAGCACAAGAAGTGAAATCTACCCTATCTAACTGCATAACATCATGCACACTGGAGACAACTCTGCAGCTCAGATACTCTTTTCTACCCTGGAATTGAGTTCCATAAGACACAGCATTGTGGCTGCTATTACTGGGTAAAGGATGATAATCGACTATTGCTAATGGTTGATCCACATTGCTTCCTTGATAGCACTTTCTATCATATTTGTAAAATTTATCAGAAAAACTGAATTTAGAAAGCAATGTTGAAAACTTCTAGAAATTTGACCTTCATTTTTCCAACCTGTCTTCCCACTGCACACAAAATTAGAGCTCATTACATGACTCAAATGAGTACTTTTTAAAATTAGGCTGTGGTACAGCCTTTAACTTAAGAATTTAGGAATTTTAAAAAGGAGAAATCAAGGTCATTTATCAGTGCAGCATTACACTGGGATCAATGTAATCTAAGCCAAAATAGCTTGTCTCAGAAATATTTTTCCAAAGGGCTGAAGATGCAATTTTTCTAGAATTTATATGCATACCCAGGAAGAATGTACTCCAAAAAAACAATTAAATGGTTAAGTGAAAATAAATCTTTAATAGTAGCATGTATCCAGCTCTAGTTCATGCTAAAAGACAGCTTAGAACAGATTTTGAATCCAATATATGCAGTCATCTTATAGTCTCTTTTAAGTTCAGGCCCCAGGTTATATGTTAAACAACTTCAAAGTCTGCCTCGACACTGACACACTTCTTCACGTTAAAATTCCACAGATCCAAAGTGTTAGGTAAAGAAGATGGGAGAGATTGGAGCTCCCTGGGAAGGAGAAAAGGAATAGATTCTGTGAATATACTGGACCAGAAAATATCAGGTAGACAGAGAGGGAGGAAAGGGTACAGGAAGACACACCTGGAATTAGGAGAATTTTGCTTGTTAGTGTGGAAACAACGTTTCATGGCAACTTTCCGTAGTCTGTGATACTAACCCTAGTAAAAAGTCCTTGTAACAAAGAATATAGAATCTGAAATCACCATCTTTTATTGTCAGGCATGGTTTTCAGTGCTGGGACTGGGTTACAATCAATTGATGTCTTGGCTCATGGGTCCTGTAGAGATCCCTAAACTGACCTCCTGTTAGCATAAAATGTCTCTTGTTCTCTATCTCTCTCCCAAAACTGACAGAGGACAAATTGCTGAGGACAAATTCCACAGAGCTTTGCTGAATATAAAGAGGTTGAGCAGCTATAGGCTTGGAGCCTTCACCCCTATGTTCCAGTCTCTTGAGGGAAATAAAGCACTACAGTCTATGGAAAGGGAAACCGACAAACTGAGCCAAAAAACTCTCCACCTAAAATATGTCCTGTCTACAAGATGTACTCTGGCTTGATGGCACAGAACATTCGGAGTGCCAAAAGAATATCTGCTTTAAATTGAAGCTAAGGACATGAGAAGGAACCTATGCATTACACTGCCTGGATTTTCAGGAACCTCACAAAGACATAAGCATCAACCATGGGGCCTGCATGGGTCTGTGCCAGATCTTCTGCTGTTATGGCTGTTAGATCAGTGTTTTTGTGGGACTCCTAAAAGTGAGAGCAGGTGTAGCTGATTCTTTAGCCTGATCTTGAGACTTTTTTCCCTCCTATTTGGTTGCCTTGGTCAGCCTCAATATGAAGGCTTTTACCTCCTGTTTTTGTATCTTGTCTTTGCTGTTTGGCTGTCTTCTCTTGGAGGCATGTTCCTTTTTGAAGAGGAAACAGAGTAGCGGGAGTGGATGGATCCCTGGAAAAGAATGATGAAAGAGGTGGGGTGAGCTGAGAGGAGTGGAGGGAGGAGAAACAGTGGCCTTGATATACTGTATGAGAGAGTTATATTCAGTTTAAAAATTAAATCAATATTGCTTTAATTAAAATGCAAAGATGAATAGAAACAATAAAGAACAAGAAAAAGCAAAATAGTAAACAGAGGAAAAGGTTGATTTTTGACAGACAGAGTTCTTGTTTTGTTTGTGTAGTGGTTGAACATCACATGGGAGTTCATGAGAAGCTTTTTTTTGGGCCGTCTACATCTGTGAAATGAGAAGCTTTGCTCTCAGCAAAGCGAAACAAAAAAAAAACAAAAAACTCAGTTCATTTCCTGGTGTTATTTATTGTGGAATTACAGAGGTTCCTGAACAGCACATTTCATTCCAAAAGAATACTCTCACTTCTTTTAAAGGAAAGCAAGTGTTTGAATAACTATTAAAACATAAAAAATTAAATGCTATCCAGTACAGCAATATTTATTTTATAATACAGTAAATGTAAAGAAACTGATGTATGAAAATGTTAAATGTTTAAGCACATTATCCAAAACAAAAATGAAGTCTTATCATCTAAGGTGGGTTATTTAATCAGAAAAAAAAAGATGAGTCATCTGTATAAGACAATTAGACTTTTTTGTTCACCTATAATTTGTCACTGTTTAAATTCAACAAAGTGAGTCTGTTTCTTTAACTCATTTATTGTTTTTCATGCAGTGTGATTTATTGGGAGAAATCTATCATACCATCCAAATATAGCAACTTTCTGGATTTTTTTATAGTCCACTGTAACAGCATGTTTGCTTCTCATTTTCTTAATTAATTAGTTAAAATCTATTCACTTTGTATCCCTGCTGGAGCTCCCTCCCTCCTATCCTCCTAGTCCCACCTACCCTTCCTCTTCTCCCATTATGTCCTTTCCCTAGTCCCCTGATAGGGGAGAGCTTCTTTCCCTTCTATTGGACTCTAGCCTATCAGGTCTACTTAGGCCTGGCTGCATTACCTTCCTCTTTGGCCTGGCAAGCTGTATTCCCTATGGGTAGGTGAACAAAGAGCTGGCCTCTGAGTTCCTGCCAGAGACAGCCCCTGCTCCCCTTACTAGGGAACACACTTGGAAACCGAGCAGCCTATGGGCTTATGAGCAGGAGGTCTAGATCCTCTCCATTCATGGTTCTTAGTTGGAATATTTGTCCCTGCAAGACTCTCTGGTCCCAGGTTTTTTGGCTCTGTTGGTCTCCTTGTGGAGTTCCTGTCCTCTCCATGTTTTTCTATCTCCCTCTTCTTCCATAAGGTTTCTGGAGCTCTGTCTAAAGTTTGGCTATGAGTCTCAATATCTGCTTCAACACCCTGGTGGGTAGAGTCTTTCAGAGGTCCCATGTAGAAGGCTCTTGTCCTGTTCCTGGTCTTCTCCTACTTCCGATGTCTCTCCTGTTTTCCCTTCTGAGTGAGGTTTCAGCCTCTTCCCTAGAGTCCTCGTTGTTTATCTTCTTTAGGACTATAGACTTTAGTATATTTATTCTATATTACATGGCTAATAATCACTTATAAATGAGTATATATCTTATGTGTCTTTCTGATTCAGGGTACCTCAATCAGGATGATCTTTTCTAATTCTAACCATTGCCTGCAAACGATTTCTTTTTTTTTTAATTGCTGAGTAATATTCCATCATGAAAATGTACCACACTTTCTGAATCCATTCCTTGGGTGAGAGACATCCAGGTGGTTTCCAGATTCTGGCTATAACAAATAATGCTGCTATGAATGTAGTTGAGCAAATGTCCATTTTGAATGGTGGGGCATCTTTTGGGTATATGCCCAGGAGGAAAATGGCTAACCTAACAATAGCAATCTACAGAATTAATGCAATTCCTATCAAAATACCAACACATTTTTTACAGACTTTGAAAGAACAATTTTCAGTTTCAAATGGAAAAACAAAAACTCAGAATAGCTAAAAACAATCCATTACAATAAAAGAGCTTCTGGAGGTATCTCCATCTCAGATATCAAACTCTACTAGAGTAAAAACAAACAAATAAACAAAAACCAAAAATAATGGCATGGTACTGGCATAGAAACAGACTGGTGGATCATTTAAATTGAATCGAAGATCCAAAAATAAATCCACAGACCTACAAAACTTAATTTTTGGCAAGAAGCCAAAACCACTTTGGAAACCACTTGGAAATCAATCGGATACTTCCTCAGAAAATTAGGAATAGTGCTACCTCAAGATCCAGATTCTCATTTTCATAAATTTTGCTACAAAAACCTTGATATTTAATGTTTTTATCCACATACCATGTTAACCTTTTAAAGATGATTGCTTGAGCTAGCTTCTGTACTTTCTGCCCTTCTTTTTCTATTGCCACCTGAAGTGTGGATGAATCTCTCCCATCCACCTGAAAAAAAGTATGAACTAATAACTAAAATCAGATGGGATAAAAAGAGTTGGCACTGCTTTTGCTACTTTTACATACTGTCTCATGACTAAGCACTGACTATGAGAGTCATTTGTAACTGTGTAATCCTTTAATGGCTGCTATTGTCTTCACTCCTTTATTATGATGTCCTCCCCAGGCTCCAGTTTGTCCTTGGCAAAAGAGCATGGAAGACATTTTCATATGTAGGACACCATGAATATAACTGCAATGGATATGAGAACTGTGATACTTCTCAATACCAATTTTATGTGCATGGAAAATCTAATGAGAAGATAGCTTGAACCTAGAGCAGTTCTGTCCTTTTATAACAAATCTGCATAATATGGTTGTTATGTAACCATATGAGTGTATTCTGTGTCACTGAACTCTAGCCTAAAGTCACCTTTCTATGGCTATGTACATTATTTCACATGAGCTTTGGTATCACATACTTACTGTTTTTGCCAAATTAATGACTGCAAAATAATATCTTTTACTCTTTCAAACAAGTGCAAACACCACCATTATATTGATTTTTTTTCCAAAAGAAAAAGATAAAAGACTTTGAACTTTCAATTTGCAGCATGAGTGAACAATCCAAAAAAAATTCCTAACAATTTATTACAGGAAATCTGATTCAAAAGCCATGTGTGTTGGTATAATGTTCTTTTGAAATGTATACACCTTACCCTTATTCATTCAAATGCTGACTTCTACCCCCCCACACACACACACACTCTGTTTTCAATCCGGATATTGCATTGTGATACTTATTCTAAGCATCATGTCTCAAACAGGCCAAAATAAAGCAACTAGCCACAATGTTGAGCAATGGGAGGAGCCAGAGGGCAGGAAATGAGTGGGAAGAGAAAGGGCAAGAAGAGAGCTAAGAGAACCAAGCTGGAGGACAGATCTTGGAAAACGTGGACTGGACCTAATATATCACTAAAAGCAAGTATAATGGGTGAAATCTAAATGTTAGGAAAGTATGAAGGCTTGGAGGTTTAGGAGGGAGTAATTATTGCCCAACATTGTGTTCTAGATTAATTAAATAAACCCAGTCTCTGTGTGGTGATTTGGTTATACAGCTGTTTAGGATTAACAGTAAGCTTTACTAAAAGATAATTATTAGTAAATATTAATCGTCACCTACAACACATGTGCCATGTGAAAACTCAGACTTCTCAATAGGATTATGAAGAAATTGTACACACACTGGTACAACATGACTTCCATACTTACCCGAAACTACAAGAATCAAAAAGGTGTACACTATTAGTGAACAAATAACTAATGCAAACAAAAATACCAAACCATAAGCTCCAAAATGCTCTCAAGTTTTCATCAAATGACATAAGGAAATGGAAAGAATATGAACATGAATAATCTTACAACTGTATATATATAGAAATTAAACAAACACAGATTTCACAACTCCCAGAAATGTACTCAGAGTGAACTTTAAACTGTTATATTTCTGAGCCTCCAGCCACCATTTATTTCTCTACCAGAGGTGCCATGTTCTATACCTCTTTTTGTAAATGGAGTTGATAAAAAGTGATAGGATGAGGAAGATAACTAGTTACATTTAACTATATTGCAAAACTACGTATCTCTGTGAGCCTGAGTTTCACTTTCTGTAGAATGAGGACAATACTCTGCCATAGTTTTTTGATGCCTTATAATAGACTCAACGATAAAGAAAAAACAATATTGCTCATAGATGGGAGAGCAATTGCAGACTTTAAGGCAAGAAGGTATTACTTGATGGGAGCTTTGCTTTGTTACTGGAGTTAGGACAAGAGCCTATATCCTGGCTACACTAACCATCCAATCAAAAGAACTGAATTATTGAACTCTGACCTGCCTACATACATTGAAGGCACTCTGGAAGGAAGGTAGACATATAGAGTTTATATACCAAGTTCCTGGCCATCCAGAGATTCATACTGGCACTATTATTTTAAAAAATGGAAAAAGAATTATTATTAATTAAAAACATATATTAACATGTATTTGGTGTAACAAATTTTGACTCGTGATGAAGATATAAGGTAAGTGTTGATGAATATTAATATTTACTATTGATTTTATCTTTTAGTTGAACAGCAATTGTTCCTAAACCAGCTGTATACCCAAATCACCACTCAGAGACTAGGATGAATTTAGTTAACCTGCAGCACAGTTCTGGGCAATGATTTCTCCATTCTAAACCTACAAGCCACCATAGCTTCCTCCCATTCAAAATTTACCTATTATACTTGCTTTGGTCTGGTTCATCTCTCCTCATGGTTCCAAGTCCTCTCCTGCCATCTCTGCTCTCTACTCCTCTCCTCCAGGTCAGGATTTCCACCCTATTCTCTCCATTGCACAGCATTAGCTGGTTAATTGCAAATACAAAGAACAAATGGTGGTATGTTTATACAAAATTGAGACAGGTGATGCTTAGAATAAACACAACAATGCATTGTCCATATTGAAACCAGATAGTAAGGTAGAGAAATCAGCATTTGAATCAACAAGGGTAAACTGTATAAATTGTATTCCACAAGAACATTATACCAACATTTCCCCCTACAAGTCCAATACAAGGCTCCTTTTCTTTCAATACAATAATAATTATAAAAGTTGTGGAAACTATTAGATAACATTTACATGTGCAATACAGTTCACATGCATTTGGCAACTTAGGAGAAAGTATTTGATTATTAATCCTATCTCATCAGGTTTAGGGTTCTATGCCTAAATTAATTTTATCCTTATGCGTATTACCTATATGAAAATTTTTATTAAATTCTAACAACTTAAGCTCAATTGTAGAAATATAACTATTTGGTCTTCAAGCCCACCAGAGACTTCAGAAGGAATAAAAGTAGTTACTGGAGTAAATAGGAAGTGCATGTTAGCAGCTTCCAAAAAATATTTTAAAAATTGACAGGGACACTTTGCTGCCTGAACAGTCACCCATAATTCTCTATAACATTGGAGCATCATCTTCAGCCTTCTGGCTCAGAATATTTGACAGACATAATGTAAAGCGGGAACTATTTAGGACTTGCTTACCCTGTCTTGGCATAGTTCAGCAGTTGACTTGTCCTGAATTTAAGCTTGCCCATTTTTGGCAGAATTCTGTCTGTCATGAAATGAGGGCATTTTCTTTTTGCACAGTTGGCTATTTGCCACATTTGAAGTCATCTCCATATGGAAGTTCTTTGATGCTCACCATCTTTTTTGAGGTCGGCAGGATGCTGCCAGGAGATGACCTGTCTCATTGTGAAAGAATCTTTAAAATAATAAAGACATTTTAAAATGCCATATTCTGTAGGTCTCTGAAGTTATTGAAGACTTACTTATTTTTTTGTAATCGAACTGTCTACAAAATAATATCTATCTGTTTAACCTAGGATGTATATACTGTGACAAATTAGACTAGTGTCAGACATGACTATGAGCTGATTAACTAGAAATTAACTTGCATTACCTAATACCCTAAACAGTTGGTAACAGCAGTTTGAAAGTATAGGCAGTAACCTTGAAATTGTATCAACATATTGAAATTTACCAATTTATTAAAAATAGACTTGTTTTTGCATCAATATACACAATCATATACCAGAATTAAAAATAACCTTATTTGAGAATAACAAATAAAGTCTTAAGTTGATTCAATAATCTAACTTTTATCTTATTATTCATATAAGATAATCCTCTATTCCCCTTTCTTGCTTTCTACCCCTTTTCTCCTTATCTAATAAAAAAGATAGAGAAAAGAAAAAGGAAGAGAGAAATCCCTGAGTCTAACTTTGTTTTTTCTCTGAATAAGACAATTAATAATTTATGACCATCTCTCATTGACAGTAAACATTTATAGCCACAGAAAACAACCAAAAAATATACCCAACCCTAGTTAAAGGAAATTGGATGTCATTCTAATGAAATTTTTCTACCTGAATTTTAGGATAGACCGAAATCCTGTTATGGGGTTCAAAGGAAATTGGGAAAAAATGGATAATTATTCAAGTATTAACATTTGTGCTCTAGTCTTTGAAAGCTGAAAAATTTTGGGCTTACTGGAAGTCCTATTTGGAAAGTCTAAAATGTGGGACCAGTTGAGATTAGTAGCTTTCTTCAAAGCTCTCTTGGGAGTCAGCGTTGATGAGAAACTGCAATTGAAACAGTTGAAGCAGGAACAAGCAGAATGGTGGAACATGCAAGATGCTGGATCTGTCAATACTGACAGATGTGTCAATGTATCAGCATGCTGGAAGGATGAATTCTGTCAGGTTTGATCCAGCATCTCCAGTGTCCAGTCCTTTTTTCTTCAAACATATACTTTCTCACAAGCATTATACAGTCCTAAAATTATAAATGCATGAGATGTGCCAGAAGAAACTAAACTGTAAACCAACTTTATCTATGCCAATTAAAAGAATGTCATAATAAATTTTGAGGATATTATAGTCAAGGATAAATTGGCCATGTATTGTTGAAGTTCTGGCTAGAGACATTTTTTATGTTTCAGTTTCAGATGTCCCACCCTATTCTCCATTGCACAGCTTTGGCTGCTTATTTAATTCAAAATACAGACACATTTATACAATCTTTAGAAAGGTGATGCTTAGAATAAACATGACAATGCAATGTCCATATTGAAACCAGATACTGGAATAGAGAAATCAGAATTTGAATGAACAAGGATAAATTGTGTGCTTTTCACAAGACCATTATACCAAAAGGTAAGTAATATATCCTTGAAGTCCTAACAGGTTTAGATAGAAGTCAAGAGATATGCACAAATATGAACTCTAAACAATACCTACAATAAATTTTCCCTAATCATAAATCCCTACCCCATTCTCGGCTCCTTTCTCTCCTACAAGGTATTCAGATAATGAGTTATTGCCATATGGAGCTATTAGCCTTTCCCAGGAAGAGATTCAAAGGGAAATTAGAAGTTAATGGAATCCACACATTCATTAATATTCATGTAAGAAAAAGATGTTTCTTCCAAATATACTTATTGCTACCTTAATGATGGCAGGTAGGTTACAGATTGGGGACCGAGGACTTTAAGATCCAACTGGAGAACACCAAGTATGGGCCTGCATGGTGCTGTCACTGAGATACATGTAGTTGCCTAGAAAAGGAAAGAGTATAAGACTTGGTGGGGGCTGGCCCACCACAGCCGAGTATATACAGAGAATAAAGTAGAAGCCAGCTTGTCCTCAGGTATATCTCCCAAGCATTGTTTTTTGTCCTTTTAATGCTTTTGCTTAGCATCCAAAGTCCTCCCCTAATACATTTTTGATGTTACAAAACTATTTGTAAATGTCTGCTTTCCCCAGCCCTACATTAATTTTGTTTGCATCTCAGATTTCCCTGACCACAACCTCTATGTCCTCTGGAGTAACCATTACTCCAGGATCCTTACTGAATGTTTTTCAGGGATCGGTGAAGCAGACTATAATCTGAGCTAGACAGGTGGATCTTGATGACTACAAGTTTGTTTGTTTTTTTCTCTCCTTACAGTAGGTATAAACTCCAGCAGGGAGTTTTTTTAAATGTGTCCTTGCAGTCTCCCATTAATGCCTATTTACTACATGAGATTAATTTAGCCTTGTGGCTTTGGTCACGGGAACAGTGACTTCTTAAAGACTTGTACTCTCAATTTCTCTCCTCATCATTTTTGAGACACTTCCCCCATTTTTTTGGAGATCTGGGCAGAGAAACTTCTTTAACCACCAAGTGTATGTTAGGTTCTAATGATATAAGTCTCATATTTTTCTTCTCCATTGTCAAGGCTATGTTAAAGATGAACTTAGGATCAACCATTCATACCTTACTGCTATTAATGACACGCTGATGGGGCTGAACTGATGGTTCAACCCTTAAGAGCCCCAGTCATAGAGCCTCACTTTGAATCCCAGCACCAAAGAGACAGCTCACAACTGTCTGTAAGTCTAATCACATGCATCAGATCCTCTGTTCTGTTCTCCACTGATACACAACATGCACTTGCTACACATAGAGAAATAACTAATGCATCTAAATAGTCTTCAATTTATATATATATATTTAAGTTTTTTTACAATATAGAATCAAGTAGGTATGTGTCTTTTCACCATTTACATATGTGGTCCCTAGGGGGAACAGAAGAATGAATGGAAAGACAGGTAATTCTGAGCCATCCAGTGTCGGAAATAAGAACCACACTTGGGTACATAAGAGAAGCAGAACTACAACCTCTCCATCTCCCAAATATGTTATTACAATGCAGAGGATGGAGATGTTCCATCACTGCTTTTGTCTCCTAACACTTGGTTAAGAGTCCCTGCTACATGATTGTTGAAGGACTCAATGGATTTCTAGCCCTCTGTGAATGGACTTTCCACATTGCTTCCTATTTTTCATTGTTAACACAGTTCTCTTAATGTGAGTAAAGATAACTGCTTACTCACAGTTGGTTGAAACTGCTCACAGCCTCATAAGAGTGTATCAGAAACATTTCCATATTTTGAGATATACTCTTTCATTTTTTAAACTTTTTGGGACAGAATATATATAGCCATAGCTGTACTGAAACTATTTTGACCAAGCAGGCCACAAATTCAGACATATTGGCCTGCCACTGTCTCCTAGGTGCTGGGATTATAGGCATGCACTTCTAAACCCAACTGAGGCTTATTTGTAAAATGACCTCTCTTTGAAGCAGAGAATGAAAAAACAAAATAAGATTTTAAAAGGAACCATCATTGTTTTGATGAAAAGCAACATCTCTTGAATTTCTATAATAATGTAATCTGGCAATTAAATTCCTGTTTTCAATAATTGGGTTATCTTTCTTTGGATTTGTTAGTTTCATCAGTTTGATATTGTTTTAACTGTTTTTCTTTGTATACATTTCTGCCATTAATCTATAAGCAATGAAAGGACAACTTACTGCATTCTCCTACTTCCACTATGTAACTTCTAAAGATGAAACCCAGGGAGTCATTTCTCAAGTGAGCTCAAGAGCTCTTATATGGGTTTAAAACTTATTTACCTTTAGTACGGTAGTGTAAATATTCCAAATCCCAAATGTCCAAATGAAAGAAAAAAAATGTAGGGAATAATGAGTCTCCCAGAGAATGAATTTGTGTTGTCAGGCTTAGCAACAACCAACTTCACCCACTGAGACAATTCTCTGGCACTTATGTGTGGTCCTAAGAAATGTTGTGAACAAGTGTTTACTACTAAGAATAGATTAAACTCCCAAGGACGATACATGGAGATAACCTAGAATGCCTGCACAGATGTAACCCCTTGTAAGGGGAACAGGGACTGTCTCTGACATGAACTCCATGTCTGGCTTTTTGAACACCTCCACCAATTGGGGTGTGGCCTTACCAGGCCACAGAGAAAGACAATGCAGTCATTCCTGATGGGACCTGATAAGCTAGGATCAGATGGAATGGGAGGATAAACTCCGCTATCAGTGGACTTGGAAAGGAGATGAGGGAGGGATGGTGGGATTGGGAGGGAATGAGTAAGGGGGCTACAGCTAGGATACAAAGTGAATAAACTGTAATTAAAATAAAAATTTTTTAAATTAAAAAAATAGATTAACACATTCACAAAACACTACATACTTTTGACAATACGATTTATCATTCAAATCATGTTTTCTCCACCCTTAGATGATGACGTTTCCAATTTGAAAAGAAGACAATATTTTATGGATGTAATCTTTCAACCAATATTATTTGAGAATCATGGAATGTCTGAGGTATGCAAAGCTGGCAACTTGACATTTCATTGGCATATAAAGATGACAAAAAGTAGACCAAAGAAGTTGTTTTCTACTTTCCACATAGATATGTGCTAAAAACACATTCACACACACAAGAATTATTTTTACTAGCAAGAAATAAAAATGTTACATTATCTAGCATCACTATGTAATTTCCTCAGAAGCTAATATTTCAAGATGAAATGGCAAAGGATACCCACTGTGAATATGAAGAATTATGGAACAATATATAATATGTATATATCCATAGAACATCAAGCAATGTTGTGAGAGATACAGTTGTCTGATGAGTATACTACTTCCTTATATGTCTACCAGAGACAAAAAAGACAAAAAAGGCAAAGTTTCATGTACCAAATTAAACATATTCATAGAGATTTCCTGCAGTATGAATTCTTTTCTGATAATAGACGCTAAAGAAGTGTTCAAAGTCTTCATCCTATTAAAAACATTCATAGGACTTCTCTCGAGTATGTGTCTTTGCAGATAAAAGTTTTGATAAAACACTTTACCACACTGAATACATTTGCAAGCTTTTTCTCCCTTATGTGTCTTTTCATGTATTTGGAGATTACCATTTGTGAAAAAGTTTTATAGTGGTTACATTCATAGGGATTCTCTCCAGTCTGTGCATTTTTATGTATTTGAAAAGTATCATGCTGTGATCACCCTTTACCACAGGGTTTCACTCTGGTATATGTTCTTTTATGTACTTACAGATGACTGTGCTGTAAAAAATGCTCTGTCATACTAATTACATTTTCATAGTTTCTCTCCAGTAGGCACTACTTTTTATGATTTTGGAGATTACCATATTTTGAAAAGGCTTTACGACACTGTTTACATTCATAGGGTTTCTCTCCAGTATGTGTTATGAATTTTTATGCTGTGAAAAAGCTTCACCACACTGGTTACATTAATAAGGTTTCTCTCCAGTATGTGTTCTTTTATGTCTTCGGAAATTACGGTCACATGAAAAGGCTTTACCACACTGGGTACATTCATAGGGTTTCTCTCCAGTATGTGTTCTTTTATGACGCTGGAGATGACCATGACGTGAAAAGGCTTTACCACACTGGTTACATTCATAGGGTTTCTCTCCAGTATGTATTCTTTCATGAATTTTGAGATTACCCTGACATGAAAAGGCTTTACCACACTGGTTACATTCATAAGGCTTCTCCCCAGTATGTGTTCTTTTATGTCTTTGGAGATGACCATGACATGAAAAGGCTTTACCACACTGGTTACATTCATAATGTTTCTTTCCAGTATGTGTTCTTTTATGACTTTGGAGATTACTATGTTGTGAAAAGGCTTTACCACACTGGTTACATTCATGAGGTTTCTCTCCAGTATGTGTTCTTTTATGACTTCGGAGACTACCCTGACATGAAAAGGCTTTACCACACTGTGTACATTCATAGGGTTTCTCTCCAGTATGTATTCTTTCATGAATCAAAAGAGTACGATGATGTGAAAAGGTTTTACCACAATGGTTACATTCATGGGGTTTCTCTCCAGTATGTGTTCTTTTATGACTTCGGAGACTACCCTGACATGAAAAGGCTTTACCACACTGTGTACATTCATAGGGTTTTTCTCCAGTATGTATTCGCTCATGTATCAGAAGAGTAGCATGATGTGAAAAGGCTCTACCACACTGGTTACATTCATAGGGTTTCTCTCCGGTATGTGTTCTTTTATGGGTTTGGAGATTACCATGCTTTGAAAAGGCTTTACCACATTGATTACATTCATAAGGTTTCTCTCCTGTATGTGTTTTTTTATGATTATGGAGAGTACCATGATGTGAAAAGGCTTTACCACACTGGATACATTTATATGGTTTCTCTCCAGTATGCATTCTTTTATGTTGTTTGAGATGAACATGATGTGAAAAGGCCTTACCACACTGGTTACATTCATAGGGTTTCTCTCTGCTATGAGTTCTTTTATGTCTCTGAAGATGACTGTGTTGTAAAAAGGCTATATCACACAGATTACATTCATAAGGTTTGTCTCCAGTATGTGTTACTCTATGTCTTTGGAGATGACTGGGTTGGAAAAAGGTTTTTTCACATTGATTACATTTGAAGGGTTTCTCTCCGGTATGTGTTCTTTCATGCCTGCAAAGATAATTGGTACATGTGTAAGCTTTACCACATTCATTACACTGATAAATATTTTTATCTGTATGAATTAATTTTACAATTTGGTCTCATTGAAAAGGGGTACCAGATATTAAGGTTTCATCACTTTTGTTTACATTCATAATTTTCTTTATGGGTTGTCAAGTCTTTGTAGATATCTGTGACAGTAAGGGCATTTTATTATATGGCTTAAATTATAGCTGCCTTTTTCTATATGAGGTTTTTCACAAATGTAAAGAGAAATGGAGACCTCATATTAACCACACTGACTGAATTCATACTTTTCCTATACATTATGCCAGTAAAGTGAATCAAAACAGATGAATTTCCACGTTTTTTTTTGTATTTATAGAAATTTTCCACAGCATGAGATTGTGGATGTATTCCCAATGATGTTGGAAAACTAATTAATTGAATTAGTTTAATTTATTAGTAGTCCCCCACTTAAGAGTAAATTTTCTGAATGTGAAAGAAGTTCAAAATTGACTTATTAATAATTCATAATTAATTAGGTAAGCAAAAATGAAGTAAAGATTTACAGTGTTATAACTATCAGACTCTCTGCTCTACACATGCATTGCGTATTTTAGAACGCACTTACCTGTGGTGATGTATATGTGAATGCCACGTGGGAAGAGTAGGCATTGCTAGGTTTGTTCCAAGAAAAGCCTCTACAAAGAGGTGATCCTGGAGACACTATAAGATTCTCGTTGTTATAGCTTGGGCTGTGTTTTTTTTTTTTTTTTTAACTTTTTCACTAATAATTTAGTCATTATTAACTAATATTTAATAATAAAGTAATTATAAACTTCTATCACATTTAGAAAGTGTAGTCACAGTGGGAACTACTACATATCTCCTTATTCTGGGAGAGAGAGGTATGTTGCTATTTTCAGGATCCCTATGCTCACGTAACTTGTATCCACTTTGACCATTATAATACCACTTCAAAGAAAAATAACAAATGAAAGTTTTCACATTCACCGATTGATATTTGATCCTCATAGATATGTACTATATGGATTAATGTTTTTCCACAACAACATTTTTGAATCTCATAAAGGGCCCCTTCATTAAAGTTGGCTATATTTTAAAAGCATGTAAGGAACAAATGCTTTATTCTGGACTATTTGCTAACTGGAAGATATTGGACATATCCTTATCACCTATTCAATGTGTATACATTTTGTAATGTTTATGTTGTAGGAGATGATACAGATTGACAGTTCAACATCATAGCTCTCATGGGGCTATGGTTCAAATGGTAACACCTGTGACTGAACCCATTCCTTGTTTGGTTTCTTAAAGGAATTCCATTCAGATTTTGGATATGTGAGGATTTTGTAATCACATATATACTTGAAGTAGTGCGGTTTTTTTGTTAGTTTTTTCACACTAACGCTTTTCTTTAACACTCCTAGGAAGCATTGAAATTTCCTTAGAGGCATTCAGAAAACTCATATTCACATCTCTTGCACATGAAAATTACCTTCCAAGTCTTCCAGAACTTTGACAGTGTTCTTCAATATTATGGTCTTCCCAAATGAAGCCTAAAATATGTATATCAGAAAATATGAGATATTATTCATAATTATGCATATTTTAAGTTACTATCTTCAGTGAACTTTAAAACGAAGCCTGATCTTTGCATATCATTCTTCAACCTTCTCAATTAAAGTTACAGAACAACATTAACAAAAGCAGTAGCACCAGCAACAACAGTTGTGCCCTTGTTTTAAAAACTGAAAGTAAATTCACAGTCTTACCTATAGCAAACAGATTCCTGTAGGTCTCTAGCATCACATCCTTGTAGAGACTCTTCTGGGAAGGATCCAGCAAAGCCCACTCCTCCCGAGTGAAGTTCACATGCACATCATCATAAGTCACTACATCCTGAAATATCCCATACATGTGTAGAAAAGAAAGCATGAAAATGACAACCCTGTAAATATATACTCCATTGACAATGTATTCATGTAATTCTGGTGCTTCACCAACTATAGTTGTTGCCACAGAAGTTTAACATAATCACTAAGTCATTTTAGAAGGCAACTGAATAATGATGCTTACCTTTGTAATTCTACTCCTTTGAAATAGAATATAGCCTGATAAGAGAAATGTCATTTAACAGAGAGGCATGGTGGTGGTGGAAGATAGACAGAAATGTACTAAGCGTACATCAGACAAAAATATAAGAACAATTTCTAACTACTAAAACTAACAGACAAGCTGAGCATATTGTCTCAGGCAATGTGTTCTAAGACTGTCTCCTCTGCAAAAATCAATCCAATAAACAATAAAGATAGAAAGAATACATTGATGTTCACAGATGTTCTTACAAAGAATAATATTTCATCTTCCAATAACCTGAAGGGACCCAGTTTAAACTATACAATTAATAAGATCTTACTAAAAGGAAATGCATGCTTAAAGAGTTATAAATTGAAAAATAAAATATTAGCACTGAAAATTTTGACCATAAATAAGCAAGATAGGGCAGGACAAACGGCTTAGCAGTAAAGAGCTCCTGCTGATCTTGCAATTAATTTGGATATATTGTCAGTATTTAAATGGAGGCTCACAACTATCCATTACTCCAAGCTGTGGTTATCTAAGACCATCTTCTGACTACTGTGAGGAACACATGAGGTACATATTCATGCATACAGGCAAAATACACATATTCATTCAAAAACTTCAAAACAAAGAAAACTATAGGAAGAATGTCATGCACCTGGAATGCAATGACTCCGAACACTCTAGCAATATTATTGCTATAAATATATGCCACCCTGAGAAATAATATATACCCTATGACAGATTTCAAAATTTAAATGTGGACATGGATGAAGATCAGAACAAGGGCATATGCTTGACATGCACAAAACCCTACATTTTAAGACCTATAGCCAATAATATAAAAACAAAACAAAATGAAACAAAAATCCCAGGCATGCTGGCCTACATTTTAATCCCAGCACTGTGGAGCCAGTCAGGTGGATTTCTAATTCCAATGCCTGTCTGACCTACATTATCTACTTTCAGGACAACCAGGTCTAAGCAAACATTCTCTTCACTATGTATATATATATATATATATATATATATATATATATATATATTAACTATATATACATATATATAGTTAATATATATATTAACATATATACATATATATAGTATATATGTTAATATATATTAATGAATGAAATTAAATCTATAATAACATCAAACTACCAAAATAGCTTAAAACTGAGTAACATTTGTTTCTCATTATATTGTATGTTATTTAGCACTGGAGTCTATAATGGTTGAGGTATGACAGCACCAGAAAGGAGCTGACTTATCAGTTTCAATGACAACACAGTAGACACCAAGATCAGAATATGGATTGAGTCCATAGTCACTCAAATCTAGAAAAATCTAGAAAGTTTCCTCCTTCCATAAACTCCACAAAGAAGAGACAAGTATTCAAAGGCATCATATTATCTGGGAGCTTTTTGATACAATCAACTACATTCTAAAGCCTGTCACTATAGACTCATGGCCATCCCATAATGAAAATGCATTTAGTCTTAATTCAATAGTTATCAATAGTCTTAATTCAATTGCTTAGTTATCTCAACATCTTGTGGTCACAACTTACAACTCGGTTTTCATCCTCACAGCTTCATGCAATGCATTCTCACAATATTCTCACTGCTGCTCTGACTCTGCCAAACTCAGATGACGGGAACAGTTTTGAATTGAAAGCACGGAGGAAGAATCCATGACCTTAAGTTTTATATCTTTCTTGTTCGAAGAATCAGAGCAACATAAAGTTTGGGTAGACTCTGACATTCTTGGACCACAGTTGCCGCACATTTCGATGAAGTTCCTTCCTGAGAACTTTCTAAGGCTTGAATCCAAAGCAAGGGCCTTTTCTTTAATGGTGATAAACGCCTTGAAAATACCTGCCTCTGTTTTAGCACTTGACTGCCATCTGAAAATTCACAGTTCTATTTTACTCTACAAACCAGAATTTACATTTATTTCTGACTAATTGTTCTAGTTTACAATCTTTAATGTAATCTTCACTAGTAATATCCATCTAACTGATTCAATATTACATCAAGAAATCAGCACCCAATTTTCTAATTCTACCTTAATTAATTTCTTAGGACATGAGCAAGATAAGAAAGATTTAGGAACACATCACCAAACAAATGACCTCTCGCTTAATTTTTCATGGAGTGTATTTTCCACTGAATCCTATGAACGACTTTCTCTGTATGCTCTACTCTCAACAGCAAATGTTCAATCAATAACAAGTGAAGGAATAACAAGTGAAGGTGAAATGTGGCTATGAATTTTAAAGTAAGTAATAGTAAACGAGAGGTGAACGAAAAATAGAGGAAAGAACATGACTCCTCCTAAGTATGGTGCAGTAAAAAGACTATTATATATAAAACAGAAAGCATGCCCACAGTCTGGCATATCAGAGTGCACCGAGAGTGAACATGACTCTGAGACTTCTTAGGAGAGGGAAGAGAGAAGAGGGGGAAGTCAGACCAAGAGTCTAGGATGGTAAATGATAAATTTAAAAAAAAAAAGTAAGCAAATGTTTGAATTACATAAAGAAAGGCAAATGTGAGAAGGGCTACACAAATCTTTGGCTAGAGGACAGGGCATGCCAACCATTATCTTGGTAGGGAATGAGGTATACTAGGACATCATGTTGGCATAGCTGTTTTGATGTTTTAAATAATCATATCACCCTTTTTTCCTAGGGATTGAGACTTAACAATAGGAAGGAATGAGAATATTAAAATGTTTTAACTATATTCACAAAATGATTTTTAAATGTTGAGAAAGGATTTATGGTCCAGTTATCTCCAGACTCTAGAGACACATGTATTAGAGTACACCGTGTCTGACTCACACCTTTCCTCCCTGACTGTGCAGTTTTAGACAGGAAAATAACATTCCTGCTAGACACAGCCACAATACTTTGTCAAGATCTTCTGTGTTGGTTGAATGAGTATAACTACAACAACTTCATTTCTAGACATAACTTCTGTTCCATATATAGATTCTTGATTTGCCTGACCAGGTTCAACTTCAGTGATTGTCCTCTATAGATTTTCTGATTACACATTGCTAATTCCAACTACCTTCAAAGCAGGAAAGATGTCACTTTCTTCCTCCCCATCTTTTTCTCAATGACCAGTCATGGCCCAGCCTGGATGGAGTTACACGAAAGTCTTCCAGGGACTGGGCAGCAGAGGCAGGATTGGGAGTTCAAAACAATTCTCAATTAAATAGCAGCAAAAGTGAGCTACAGAATATATTGCTAAAAACTGAAAATAATAATCAACACACTATGTGTCATGTTAGCTACTGAGGTCTGTAATATGACACACTCAGCTATGGCCAATGCTGTCTGTCTTATATTATTCATGTGACTTAACTATGTCAATAAGAATTGGTATGTCTCCAGTGCAATAAAGAATAGTCCCTTAACTGGAGATTCAGTATTCTTTGGTTCAACATAATCTCCCTAAATTGTATATACACTAATCTTGACTGTTTTCATTTTTAGGCTTGAATTAATACATGGTAGGTAATTACAAAATCTTTCATCCCACCTCAGTCAGGTTTCATTTCACAATGGTGACACCAGTCACTGAATCACTAACACTTTAGTCTGTGATCTATCCACTGTCTATCATGTTTCACTCTATAGGATACACAGTCATTTTTTCCTCCTTTTCTGGTCTGAAGGACAAACACATGCTCCACATGCAAATCATTTTCTTGTTACTACAATGGAAACCTCACTAAATGACTTAAATGACTAACTTAAAAACTCTCCTGTAGTACAGCATTTAACTTAAGAATTTAGGAATTTTAATCAAGAGGAAGGCAAGGTCATTTTCTGGGGAGCAAAACACCAGAATCAATGTGACCTAAGGCAACAAAGCTTTTCTCAGAATTTTTTTTTTTTCAAAACGCAAAAGGTGCAGCAGTTACAAACGTAATATCCCTTACCAGGGAAAAGCCACTCCATATAAATGTAAAATATTAAGTAAGAAATTTCTCTTTAATTGTAGCATGATTCCAGCTCTAGTTCATACTAAAATAGAAGAACAGATTTGAATTCCATATATGCATTCATCCTTAAGTCTCTTTTAGGTTCAGGCCAAAGGTTATATATTAAACCATTTCAATATGGACTACTTATTCCAGTTCTGGACAATGAGGCAGATGGGAGATTTGAACAGCAAAGATATTCCAAGAACCACTCCCCTAATATAGCAGGTCATTCTTCATTGCCAGGGTCATCAGTGGAAGGTCTCAGTGGTTTCAAATGAAAGAAAAGTAGAAGGTAGAAAATATCCAGGGTGGGAAGGTCTTGCACCAGCTATGTCTTATAACTAAGCTTCTTTAGAAGACTAGCATATTGTATATTATTTCTGGGGAAGAAAGGAAGGAAACAGGAGACATCTATGAATTGATCAGAAACTCTCATACAATGAGACAAAATATAAGGTGTCTAATAAAAACATTGCTTCACAAGGGGAACATTATTTTCCAAGACCACAATGGCCTTGGAACTGGTAACTATTACTCTCAACACAACAGTGATGTTCAAATGGGGATGTCTTGCCCATGTGGCAAAACTATGATTTTTCTCAAGAAGAAAATTGCAAGTTTATGGCACACCAGGATTTAATATTGGCTGTGATTCTGTAATGGCCCATTAAGCAGGTTGTTAGATGTCTCTCCTTTGACATGGAGATGGGACAATAGTTGCTATGAATCAGGACTGTCTCCTTAGTTATGAGTTGGAGATAAATTTGTTGACAGTCTTCGTGGACAAACATGTGTTTCCTAGCATTCTAGTCTCTAAC